GGGAGCGAGGGGGAGGAAGACATGTGCATGTTTACTGAAAGCACACTAGCAACAGCTGCCTCCAGAAAATGTGGAGAAGTGGACTTGTTCATACCATAAATAACTGCAGTGCTCCGATTTCCAAGGAAAGGTCCTTCACCCACAACTGCCGATTTTAGCATGAAAGAGTTATGTCCATATTCATTTAAATATACAGTTTTCAAGATGGTGATTTTAGTTATTTCTCAAGTCCAAAGAGTTACAATAACAAAAATTAAGATATCTTAGACATTACAGCTCCAGTAAAGTTCATGAGATGAGCTCCTTACACAAATGCTTTCAAAATCTTTCTGTCATCCCCACAAAACATCATCACTGTCTCACAGGGAAAAAAGGGAACAATTTCTCTGCATCTACACACTGTAGGAGTGGTCACTGTTTGTAATGCTATGAGCCACATACAAAATTTGTCATATAGTCAGCAATTACAAGATCCATTCACACACACAAATGAGAATAACAACTCCACAGCAGCCCCAGCCCTATCACACAGGGCAGTTCCAAAATCCACCTGCATCCCAATGTGACTTTCAGAAGCCCTAGCACCAGTGCAGCACTTGAACAGCTTGAAAACCATATGCAGCTAAAGGTTAGTCACATCTTACCTATTGTTATAAATAGATTTTAAGGTTCTTGACAGTAAACACTTTGTGTTTGCACAGTGCCTAGTACAACAAAATCTGTCGATGAATTGGACTCAGAAGTGCTATTGCTAAACAGGGTAGTATATGCAAAGCCAGAGTTTCAGTGTAATAAACGTTACAATATAGGTGTAATTAACAGTAGTGTGACAAGTTCATTCTACAAGGTAGTACGCACTCCACATCTTCCTCCAAGAGCTGACAATCCTATTCTTTTTCTTTTCTCCCCAGCTTTCTGCAACGTGATGCATGAGTTCAGCAACATTTCTAGGTTGCAGACAACCCTCTACCAAAACACAGCAAAAAATACAGGGGACTTTGGGGGTTTTCTTTGTTTGTTTTAGGTTTTTTTAATAGCAGAGTATTTCAAGGGGTAATATCTGGGGAAACACAGCATGATGATACTCCTTTAAAGAAAAACCGAAGGGCAATAAAACAGCTTCCACTTAGATTGTGGAAAAAAGAACTATTCTGACTAAGTGGGAGCACTAATACCTGGAGAGGACAAAGAAAAGAAAAAGGATGCAAGAAGCTGAAGACAGATGCATGATTTAAGGGAGCTGCTGTACCATCACACTGTGGCTAAACATTGTTACACCACTTGACCTTCTCACCTGCTGTCCTAGCAAAATGGCAACAAGAGACATCACTATTACAAACACCAGTATCATCCACTCCAGAAAGCAGACGTATTACTAAGAAATAAACCCCAAATTTTGGCAGCAGACTCCCACTACTTGTAATCACGGGGAATTTATACCTCATAAAAGGATGTTAAGGATACTACAGTGTGAGCCAGCTATGGAAAGGTAACACAGGTATGCAAAGCACCAACCAGGAGTCATGCACTGGGACACAAATACCTGAGGCTTGCAATAAGCGAGTTTTACAGGAAAAGAACTCTCTATCATTCTTAGGTATATCATCCATAATAAGAGCCACAGGTACAACTAAAAGCCACTAGTATCACAAACTTCAGGTTTTATTAACTGTGGTAACTTGGCAGCATCACCTTGTCTCACACAACCCTCTGAAGGCACCCGCGGCAGTCCCTCCTTGGCCTCAACTGGAATTTTACCCAGCAATAACGCTGGTCATCCCCACCCTTGCAAAGAGTAGCCCTTTTTTGTTTGTTTTTTTTTTAAATGAGCCTCCCAGCTTATGAGTCCCACAGCTGAAGTCACAGTAAAGTATAAATGCAATATTTTCATATATTGATTTTTTCTACGTGAATATTGCATGGAAATCCAGAACCTCCTAACTGGGGACACGTTTCCTCAAACTTGGAGAAAAGAAACTATAACTTAATTGTTATGTCTTCCTGCTGTTCAGATTTGTCCTCAGTAAGAATTTGCTTTGTGATAAGGAACAGGTTTACAGAAAAGATCAGTTTGGGAAGCACACACGTATTACTTATTTTAAAGTGAAATCCAATAACATTCAGAATTATTAATGGATCTCAATCTCATTATACGATTAGTAAAACCAACACTTGGCTGGATGCTCAAATTACTTCGAGTTTGTCAGCATTTAAGTTTTCCACATATTTAAACATGAAATTTTTTATCTTTGCTGTGCATAAAATGGATATTCTACAGCATATTGAAAATAAAAAGTTCTAAAAAGCTCTTTCCCTTCATTATGTAAAAGAATTTATCACTTCTACTAAATCATTCTTTTCAATTTAATTCTGTCTGCCAGTTCCTGACCCTTCTTACTGGGAAAAGATGCTTAACATGAAAAACATTCAATTCTTTGAGCACACTGGAAAGATTTAGGCATATGCCCCAATTTCCTCAATTATTTTTTTAGATCTGTTTTTAATCACAATTTTAAACCAATAAAAGTACCATTATACAATAGCAAGAAATACAATGTATGATTCTAAATTACGTAGTAGCAAGAAAATCCGTATTTATAACTCTGATTTTTGTGCTTAGCTATTTACATTTGTATCATCCTTTAACATAAGACCTCAGAATAAAAAGTAAGCTTCCTTTCCTGATCCTAATTATCAATGCTTAGCATTAATACATGAATTTATACATATGCTACACATTTGTATGCTACAGACCTCACCTATTATTATCTGTCTCAAATCTCTTTGCAAAGGTTCTATGGCATGCAAGACATTCTTTTTACCATTGGCTATAATCTCTTTTTCTTTGAAAGCCCCAAGAGTAGAGATAAATTTAGATAAAACTCCTTAATAGGACCACACAGATGAAGACCCATGCAGCGGAAGCTAAAATTACTGTTTCAGTAATCTTGTTCCCTAAGGGAATTCGTAACATTTAGTAAGGTAATGATTACATTGATATGACTACTGTGACAACAGTTTGCATAGACACATCAAAACCAGCTTCAAGTTATGCAGTGCGAGTTACTCACAGCACAAAACTGACTACGAGCTCACCGCACATTTCCCCAGCTATGCAACCTGACTTTGCAGTATCCACAGTTCCACAAGTACCTGAACACCATACAATACACTAAATCACTTATTCCTGCTACTAATTACATCCTTAAACAGCAAACAACAAGCTCTTTATCCCAAAGATAGCACAAGATTTTATACTTGGAAACAAAAGAAAGAGACCTGAGAAAAAAGTAACCATTCTGCTACTGTTACCATCTGTGAAAAACATCACACTGAATGATGCAACGTGCCCAAATCATTATTTTACTTTAGATAAAGATGTTTCCCAAAAATCGCATCTGAAAATTTTATATTGTTTATATTGCCATGTAATGCCAGACAATATCTCCACATCACTATTGATTTGCACATTTTAAAGACAGCAGATACTTCCTGTCTACCTTTTTCATCCTCATATTTAATAACCGGTTTATAATGTAACATACTCCTTGCCATTATTTTAGTATTTCAGGACTACGCAATATTAATTTACCAGAAAATCATTTGTTTGGGCCAAATTCCCCTCAGTTAGGTTGACAGGTATAGCTTTCAATGTTTTTTGAGTAAAGAATGTTTGAAAACACATTGTGTTTAGGACTAATTTTAATATTTTTTGAACAGTATAAATAGCAGGAAACACACCCCCATACCCCATACTCTTTCACAGTAACAATTTCTTTTCTTCTATTAAAAGAAATTGTAAGTAACTGCTCCTGAATTAAGTTGTGTAAAAAACTGTTCAAGTTTTCTCTCTCGGTTCAGCAAAATCTCTGAAACATCACCTATACACAAACTCTCTGAAACCATGATCGCATTGAATTTTCTGAAACTTTAAGACAAATATATCTGGACCATAACAAAGAGAAAAAAATATGTATATACCAGTTATGTATAGTTACTTCTTAACTGTGGTAAGATATCACCTGTGATACTAGCTTTTAAGTGCTATAAGCACATCCATCATTTTAGGAATATTTCTTTCCTTTTCTGGAAAGATATAATATATAGCTATATTATAGCTATATAAAAGTATAATTATTTTGTGAGTTTTCTAAAACATTATCTATCTTATTTTAATTGCAATCTCCAAAATCAAAATATAAGAACAGAATTGGAAAATATATCATTCATTTTTCATAATTACTCCATTTCCAGTTAATTTCTTCATCTTATGCAGATGACAATATTAAAATCTAACATCAAAATTTATATATGGCTTTCAACACAAGAGGGACTTTCTGGAGCAAGTCCAGAGGTGGGCCATGAAGATGGTCAGAGAGCTGGAGCACCTCTTCTATGGACACAGGCTGAGAGATTTGGGCTTGTTTAACCTGGAGTAGAGAAGGCTCCAGGGAGATCTTAGAGCAGCTTCCACTGCCTTAAAGGGGGCTACAAGAAGTCTGGGTAGGGACTTTTTACAAGCACATGTAGGAAATGGCTTTAAACTGAAAGAGGGCAGACTGAGATTAGACATGTAAAAAAATTATTCCCTGTGAAGGGTGGTGAGGTGCTGGCACAGGTTGCCCAGGGAAGCTGTGGCTGCCCCATCTCTGTCAGTGCTCAAGGCCAGGTTGGAGGAGGCGCTGAGCAACCTCCTCTAGTGGAAGGTGTCCCTGCCCATGGCAGGAGGGTTGGAACTGGATGATCTTTAAAGTCGCTTCCAACCCAAACCATTCTATGATTCTGTATCTCCTGAAGAACAAAACCAGTCATGCATCACCAGTTATACAAGTGACATCACCATTCTTAACATTTGGCAGTGTCAAACTGCTATTACATCATTAAGTACAATACCTTTTCTAATTTTGACAGAGATAAATCCAACCCAAGAAGGAAAACTGCTTTATTAGCCAGATTCCCTTAACTTCATATAGGATAAATGTAAAAGATATGGTACTTACAGTAAATTCACAGAAATCAATGCTATCAAGACTTTTGCTTCTGTGTATTCTCCCCTTTATTCTTCTTAAAGAGGGTTTTCCCTGACTTACACTACAGGTAGCACCATTGGGATTTTCAGAAGATGGAGTTACCCTGCCAAACAAAAAGAGACGCGTATTAGACAAAGCATATATGTTTTTATTCAATGCATTTGCTTAAAGTAGAAAATTTTCAAAGTAAATAAACATTGCCATGCTATATACAAAGAAGGAATGCCATTCCAAGCTTTATTTTCAATCAAGTGCCAAAATAAGACCATAAAACTATGTAGAAATCTAGCTCCCACGAAGTCCACCACTGGTTGCAGATGTAGTCAAAACTGTACCATATTTATCATTTTTGTACAAAAGAGAAAAGTATCAGGGGAAAAAAAGACAGATTGGAGAAAACATATTTAGCTTCTGAAAAATTAAAGAGAGCATTTTTCTCTATTAATTCAGTGAAAAACTGAGTCCTGTGATACATGTTGATGGTTGTCAGTTAAATCAGTAGGAGCCTGGCAGTATATGGCTTTTGACCTTTTCCAGTTTGAGTGCGAATGGTACTTCAGCTATTCTAGCAATGAATAATGATGAACAGTAATGAAATTAGTAAGACCTGTTAAAGTAATAGAGGCAATATATTAAGGAACTACACTTTGTTAGGCCTTTCATCGTACTGTAGTCTACACATAGTCCATACATAGGGGAGTCCGTTAACTATAATACTGCGAGTAAGCAATCAACATTTCAAGGAGTTTGGTGGAAGTTACTAATGAGTAAGTGGGGTTAACAATTAACCAAATGTATTAAGGTTTTTGAGGGCAATATTTTAAATGCAAAATAGTCTCTAGTCAGTCTGATACCACGTTAGAATAAGGAAAACTGCAAGCTCACCAATAATCACTCAAACCCATAAAATTCTTAATGTACAGGTTTACATTTGTTTCATATAATTTCTCAACTGCAGCCATAAGAGAGTTCAAAAACTAATTTAAAGGAGAAATAATACACCTCACTTGCGTTTCATAAGACTTTGGACAGTAGCTCAGTGGTTTTCTCTATAACATTAAGCTTCCTCTCCCCCCCAAAAAAAAGCATTTCATGTCCTTTTACTTAGCATTAACAGCTTTGGTATGCACATAAATATTTTCACAAAAAAGAAAGAAAGATGAAGACATCTTATAGATAGGCATCACCAAAAGGACATTGCCTAGGAGGCCACGTTAACACTCAAAATACAAAATTCAAGGTGCAAAATACAGTAACCACAGGCTGAAGATACTTGTTTGATCAGTGAGACTCCTAGGTCTACATAGCTTCATGGCAAGGATAGAAGGTGCAAATGCCATGTTCACAGAAGGCTAGGGAGAAGAATAAGTTGCAATAAACACACTTGAAAATTAAAACAAACAGATTTTTATAAATTGAATAAGAGATTAAAAAAGGTAAAGCCCTTAATTTTTTGTTGAATTACTGTGATTACCAAATCAATATTTTGTTTTCATATGCCTGAGGTTTTGGGGTGGCTTTTTTTTGTTATTGTTGTTTACACATGCACAGAGACACACATATCAACAGCTTGATGCAAGCCCTCTTGATAATATAGTAATTTGTTTTAGATGGGTTTTTTCCCTTTGGGTAAATTTACTGCCAGCTTTTAATCAATAAGATAAATAAAAATTTCTAACTGAAGATTAACTGTAATATTCATTTCAGTTACATTATAAACATCCTGCTAAAACTGCATCAGATATTTTGATATAATTAGAATCATAGAATCATAGAATAGTTAGGGTTGGAAAGGACCTTAAGATCATCTAGTTCCAAACCCCCTGCCATGGGCAGGGACACCTCATACTAAACCATCTCACCCAAGGCCTCGTCCAACCTGGCCTTGAACACTGCCAGGGATGGAGCATTCACAACCTCCCTGGGCAACCCATTCCAGTGCCTCACCACCCTAACAGGAAAGAATTTCTTCCTTATATCCAATCTAAACTTCCCCTGTTTAAGTTTTAACCCGTTACCCCTTGTCCTATCACTACAGTCCCTAATGAAGAGTCCATCCTCAGCATCCCTATAGGCCCCCTTCAGATACTGGAAGGCTGCTATGAGGTCTCCACGCAGCCTTCTCTTCTCCAGGCTGAACAGCCCCAACTTTCTCAGCCTGTCTTCATACAGGAGGTGCTCCAGTCCCCTGATCATCCTCGTGGCCTCCTCTGGACTTGTTCCAACAGTTCCATGTCCTTTTTATGTTGAGGACACCAGAACTGCACACAAAACTCCAAGTGAGGTCGCACAAGAGCAGAGTAGAGGGGCAGGATCACCTCCTTTGACCTGCTGGTCACACTCCTTTTGATGCAGCCCAGGATACAGTTGGCTTTCTGGGCTGCGAGCACACACTGCCAGCTCATGTTCATTTTCTCATTGACCAACACCCCTAGGTCCTTCTCCACAGGGCTGCTCTGAATCTCTTCTCTGCCCAACCTGTAGCTGTGCCTGGGATTGCTCTGACCCAGGTGTAGGACCTTGCACTTGGCATGGTTAAACTCCATGAGGTTGGCATCAGCCCATCTCACAAGCGTGTCAAGGTCCCTCTGGATGGCATTCCTTCCCTCCAGCCTATCAACCGAACCACACAGCTTGGTGTCATCGGCAAACTTGCTGAGGGCGCACTCAATCCCACTGTCCATGTCGGTGACGAAGATGTTAAACAAGACAGGTCCCAACACTGATCCCTGAGGGACACCACTCATTACTGGTCTCCAGCTGGACATTGAGCCATTGACCACAACTCTTTGTGTGCAACCATCCAGCCAGTTCTTTATCCACCGAGTGGTCCATCCATCAAATTGATGTCTCTCCAATTTAGAGACAAGGATGTCGTGTGGGACAGTGTCAAATGCTTTGCACAAGTCCAGGTAGATGAGATCAACTGCTCTACCCCTGCCCATCAGTTCCGTAGCCCCATCATAGAAGGTCACCAAATTGGTCAGGCAGGATTTCCCCTTAGTGAAGCCATGCTGGCTGTCACCAAGCACCTTGTTGTTTTTCATGTGCCTTAGCATGCCTTCCAGGAGAATCTGCTCCAAGATTTTGGTAGGCACAGAGGTGAGACTGACTGGTCTGTAATTCCCCGGGTCATCCATTTTCCCCTTCTTGAAAACAGGGGTTGTATTTCCCTTTTTCCAGTCATCAGGAACTTCACCTGCCACGATTTTTCAAATATGACGGATAGTGGCTTAGCAACTTCATTTGCCAGCTCCTTCAGGACCCATTAAATTCTGAGTTAAATTCTGACAAACATGCCTGGCTAGCAGAGTAACACACTTGTTCACAGAACAGAAACTGCAAAAATGCCAGGGATTCCCTGCTAAAACATCTTAAAGAATCATTAAGGACTAATTTCCAAAGACAGACAATTGCTCAGTCTCAACTCTTGTCCCACAGAGTGTGACATTTACAGTGACAGTACATTACTGTTGTATGACTATCTTCTGTGACTGAGCTCTACAAGTATCTCTGATAAAGTTAATCCAAATATAGGTAACTGTACATATTCTGAGTCCATGTCAAAAGCAGATGTTGGAGCCCACAGAGAGATCCACTGTTTCCGTACAGTTAGAGGTCTGTGTTTATTCTCTTTCCAGAAAATCTTTGACCGCTGTCTATTTCATTACTTATCACTTGGGTCAATAAATATTCACATGCACCTCTGGCAAATTAAATACTTGGTATAGTAGACTTCTTCCTTACACTTAATAGGAAATTTATTAAACAGCTGTAAGCTACATTGTGCTTTTCTCAATTACAACTGTATTTTAAACCACTTATTCCAGTGCCTTACCTATAACGATGCATTTAAGTGCAAGTCTTCTGGTAAGTGCAATGTTTTCTAATACTGAGAAGCCTTTACAAAAACATCAAGTAAGAAAAACCTCAAGTGAAAGAAAATCAAATAAAAATAACAGGCTAATCAAAGTAGTTTAAACAAGGACCTAAACTAATGATATGTTTTGAAGGCCCTTCCACTTGGGAGCTCCACTCTTTAAAGCTACTTGAAAAGATGAGCTCTCTGCCTCAGAATCTACCCATCATTTAATTTTTGCAAAAGAATAAATTATGGCTATTACTTCCTAGCTTCCGAGATTCAGAAATGCTTTTAAAATCACATTTAACTTCCAAAATATAATTTTATGGGAAGAAATATCACAATTGAAAGATTCCCTTCAATCCTTCATAAAAATCATTAATTTCTATATTAATGTCTTTACAAGAAAACAAAGTATTATTCAACCAACCAAAGAAAAATCCAATCAATAGCATTACAGGGAATCAGGAAGCTCTACACTGTATTTTGCACCAAAGGAAGGATATGAGGTGATATATCCAAATTTAGAGAATCATACGGGTTTGATTCTATGATTAATGAGGAAACTTTGGGACAAGTGTAAAGAAATTAAACATCAGTTTCTCCAGTGCATCTGCTACTCCTACAGTTTTAGCAAAGAGAAGCAATAACAAACCTGAGACAGACTTGGATCTATTCCAACCCAACTTCTCAGAATGCTGGATGCAGCAATGAAACTCTCAATAATACACTTCCAGTAACACTTGTGCAGTACTACAACAGGAATTCTTTCAAGTACTAGAAATTTCCACAAGGAATACAACTCAAAAGTTAAGACTATAAAGTTGCCAGCATATGCCTTACTGAGTTCAAATTCATGAGACAAGGCCCAAAGTGTCTGAGTTTGACTTGAAACTACATTACGCAAAAATCTGAAGAACAGCTTTTGAAAATCCTTCTCACTTCTGAATCTTGCTTTGTCTTCTCAAAGCATTCACTGTAATTGAGAAACGGAGTTTAATATCCTTTAATGAATACTGAAATTATAATGCAATTTTCTACGGTACTGGCATCTGAACCTTAGGTTTAAAAAAATTAATTATTAATGAAGTTTACTATATCTGATCATCTCCTTCCATCTTTTATTTGTATAGCTTAATAATAGAAAATTAATAAATGAATTGCTAAGTCACTGGCTATAGTACATGCACCAGAGGTATAGAGGAATTATCACAGACTAAAGCAGAAAGATTTGTAAAAGC